ATATATATATATATATATATATATATAATATAATATAATAATACATTACTTACAAAACATTAGCTAAGGTGACAGTAGTATGTTTCTTCTGCTAAGGAGGATACTAGGCATATCTCTCTTAACTGCGAACACGATGGAAATATTATCTTTCGGGATTTGCCGGCTAAAATATTATTGCAATCAGTAATGTCAGAAATTGATATATTAATAAAAAGTGAAAACAATTTGTTAATTTTCCAGATAGTGATCAACCCATATGTAAGGTACCAATATTTTGTGCTCTCGAACAATTTTTTTAATGTAGTTTTGTTAACCAAAAATAACATTGTTCCACTGCCATAAGGGTACAACCGGAAACGGTTTCATGCCTGTTTTCTATTATTAAACTGAAATGACGTAGTAGAGGTAGTTTTCACAATGTTTCTATGGCAATGAAAGCGGAAAAAAAGATGTGGCTGGAGGCTTGTCCAAATGGATCTGATATTTGATGTAACAAGGGCGGATCCAGGGAGGTGGAAGCACCAGTGACCCCTCCTTAAGACAGTGTTCTCTGCTTATGTGATGTGGTGTTCTTCGTAGGAATGATCAAGTGTTTTCTAGTAAGGGTAGTTGGTGTGATATGCAATGTAACGTAACGTGTCAACATCATTTAATCTAGGACCCTGAATTTAGCTCATTGTATTGTTCTTCAGAAGTTTTAACAGCAATCGGTCCGATGTTGCAAAATGAATCTGCAATGACGGTAATATCGACCAAACCCGAAGTTTTAAGTTAAATGTGTTTAAAGCTTTTGCTAGCTGTGAAGTGCAGGCACTTTACACTCACTAATTGATGGATTAAGAAGTAAGCATTACCAAAAGGCTTTTTGATGATACTATTGTTAATAATAATCATAATGATAGTAATTAATAAAGGTCATAACACAAACATCGTATTTTTCGAATTGTGCCAGTACTAACGCTAACGATATGGGCTTGACTTTGATGTGACGTTGAAGTGATTCATGCGTATTTTATGCAGCTTTCACAGGAAGCATTGCTACTATAAACGCCTACGAGATCGTTGACGCGTCATGTCCGTATCTCTAGGGCGGCCTGTATTCATGCCACCGAATCAGAAAACTAGTTTTACCGGAAATAAAAAAATACCTCATTAACCTAAACGATTTTTTTCTCATCAAGATTATCATTATGGTTTTGGCTTGTAGGGTGTATGTACGGTATGTGAAGTAGCACGACTGTCGGGAATATTTGAATGTGCAAGTGGCTGCTTTGTACAGATTCGCAGTCGACTTGTGGAGTGCAGTATGAACAGTAGCTCTTCCGTGATTGGGAACGGGAACAGTGAGAGTTCGTTGCCTTGCCAAGATCTCTGCGCCGGCTGGCCGCTCTTCTGATACTATCACCGGCCTATGAGGGCCAATTGGCTCTGGGCACACAACTTGATGTGGCGCGTATTCTGTAAATTCATAAGGTCACAAAAGTTTTCATACATACTTAATAATTAACCAAAATGTAAATGTGTGCTCGTACACATACATGTGCGTATGTATCAACTCACTAGTTTTTGTCCTTTTAATGTGAACATGCGATACTAAAGTTGTGCATTTCAAATTTATCCGTTATTTGTGTGTTTCAAACCAGCGTTGAAAATTTTGACGCCCGTCATGGGGATTATATGGATCGGATTCTCTCCCTGGGTCGTTATTAATAAGCTTGGATGATCCTCGATCTGGGAACACATTTAATATACGAAGGAAAGTGCAGTTTCATGCTCGCTTCAATCTTTTTATAGCAATTGCCGTTTTGTCTGCAACAAAGGGTCTATGTGGACTTCTTTCCGAAACGTATTAGCGCGTGTGACTGCTTTTCACTGTGGGCCGAAAAAATTATATTGATTGTGAACTATCGGTTCTGCGATATGTTCTATCATTTGTCGATGTATGGCTTGGTTTATATTTGTCAGAATATTTTTGGATCCTCACTGTCGTCAGTGAACCTGTCCAACTGAATGTTCAGCCACTGAACATTTCTAGTTCTCAAAAATGGCAAGCTTTTGTTCTTGGGAATGATGAGGTTCGTTCCTCCACTTCTCCCGAGAACTTGATATCGTGGGCATGGAAATGAAGTGATCGACGCGCAACAGCAGTTTTGTCAAAGCCTGTTTAACATTATCGAGAAGAATAAAATGATATCATACTGGTACCTGGGAGGTTGGGTTTGGACAGTTTTACCCCACCCACCCAAAGCATGCAATGCTACTTTCTGTAATAACTAGATTCTTATATGTAAATTAAATCTGTGTTCACTCTGGGAATAGTAAATATGAATTGCATGTGCTAAACATATCAGAAGGCTGGGAAAAAGGAATTTACATTATTAATTTGAAATTGCATTTTTCATTATTCCAAATATGAGTAGGCGTCCTCTCCCAACAGAAGTGTATGCATCCGCTTTAACAATTTCTTCTTTGAACGTAAAGATAATCTTCGTGGATCAGAGGCGTGCGTAGCCTAAAACACGAAGGAAGGGGAGGCACCTTCAATTTTGGGCCCCCTTTTCCCTTAAACCATTTCTATTTACATACGACATATTTTACTAGGAAATTAAGACAAAAACAATTCAAGGAGAATTAAATTATAACTTCAAAGATACAATTAATAATTACAATTGATTTATGTTAAACCATTTACAGAATTGCCAAATGGTTTGGGCAGCCAACACAAATGTTCCCCAAACTATTCTAAATTTTGAATAAATTCTCATAGCTTTCTAATATATTTGTCATTAACTTAAACACATCCCTTACTTAAAATAAATTCATTTCATCTCACTCATACATTTCATTTCATCAATGCTGTGAGAGTATTCCCTTTTCTATTTACTCCTTCCTTCCTCGCTTACATTCCTGTTTTCAATGTGAAAAAAAAACCTCATCCAAATTGCGTACGAATTTTTCTTTGAATGACCCTTTTTTCATTAACTATTATATTATTTTTTTTCGAAAATGGTCAGGCGGAAGAGCAGGCTAAATGGCCTGAGCGTCGCTATCAACTTAAAAAAAGGGAGAAGTGGAAATCATATTTTCGGATTTT